CAGGCTGCAGTGGGAGCAGAGGGAGTTGCAAAAAGCCATGCACTTCTCTAGAGAGGAGCTTAAATAGACTTAATTTCCTTCTTTTTTGTTATTGGCTCATTCTCTGGCACTCAGTGTACCCACAGACTGGCACATGCCAGAATCCCAGAATGAGCTTAGCCTAAGGTGTGAGGCTGTGCCAGGATTTCATAGGCTTGGGACTGACTGGATCAGTTCATCCCTGCTTCTTCACGGCTGCAGTGCAAGTGCAAACTGTGCATGGGAAATCCTTGGGCTGTCAGATGGGAGATCCTGGCTGAGATGGGCTCAGTGAGGATGGCCAGGAGCAGGCTTTGGGTCATGCCTTGAGGCTGTGCTTGCACGTCTGCATGTCTTAAGCATGGTGCCTCTGCAGCTGGCACACACAGCAGCTCCACAGCTGCTTCACCACTCTGCTTCACAAAGCAGCAGCTTGGCCTGGTGTTGTACCCATTATTTATCCGTGTTTGGCACACAGGGCCTGGGAAATCAGAGGAACTGTGCTGCCACACTGCAGAGAGCCCTCCACTGCCCCCAGCAGCCCCYTGCTCCTGTGAACATCCAGGACAGCAGAGAGCTGCAGTGGTGGCCCTGGTCCCCCTGGGGAGGTTCTTCTCACCCATGGGGGATTAAATCCATGAGTCTTGGGGTGCTTTGGGAGGACTGTGTCAAAAGGTCTGTCATTCCACTGTGTGCAGGGCCAGCCTGGTGTGTCTTGTGTGGTCTAGAGGGATAAATTTCTTTGCTGAGACGGTGGTCAAGGATTGGAACAGGCTGCCCRGGGAGGTGGTAGAATCATTGTTCCTGGTGATTTTTAAAAAACATKTAGGTGTGGTRCTTARAGACACAGTTTAGTRGTGGACCTGRCAGTGCTGGGTTAATGGTTRGACTTGATCTTGGAGGTCTTTTCCAACTTTTGTGATTTTGGGATTCTGTGAAATAACTAGCAAAGCCCAAGCTCTGCTTGGCTGGTGGCCCTACTGTGCTGGCTCCCAAGTCACCAGCTGCAGGGCATCCAAGGCACGGTGGTGTTGGAATTGTTTGTGGTGAGTGTGTGACCTTCTGCCACCCCATCCCTTTGGTTCCTGCCCAAACTATTGGGGGCATAGAGGAAGAGGCAGTTCTGAAGTGACTTTCAGTATTAAACAAAAGACTTTCAGCTCTCTCACTGAGGATTGGTTACTCAGTGTAGTTTGGGGCTGGAGACAATAATAAATGGGATTTTTTCATCCCAAGGTGGGAAGTAGCATTTTTTTAATGCCAAATGAAAATCTTAGAGAGAATTAAATGAACCAGAGGGAGCCTGATCCAGACAGTAACATCGCCATCAATCCTGCAGCCTGGGATGTGTTCCTTCACTGAAGGCAGAAACTGAGCTGTCAGCTGTTGGGATTATGAAAGKCAAGTGGTTCATGGGCTGTTCGGACTTACAGTTCTGGTTAGGCTTATCTTGTCAACAAACAGGCACATTTTGAACAGCAGGGCACTTACCTTTGACAGTGGAAAGTTCAGCAGTAGCGCTTGGATGAGGAAGAGAATATCTCACACAGGAGTTTGGGGAATCTGGGATGAAAAGGCTTGGGCAAAATGAGAGGTGTGTGTCAGCACCTCCATGCTGAACATCAGAGATCTCTGCACTGTTGAAAACGATCACAAGGAGCCTCTGTGCCAGAGGCTGGGAGTGGGACCAAGCCTGAGAAAGAGGGACTCCCGAGAGTAGATGGCAGTGGGGTCTGGCTGCACAGTGATAGGGCAGCTGGGTTCCACATCACACTTGTAAAGCCTGCTCAGCTCCAGGCTGCATTACTGTGAAGGCATTYCATCTTGTTTCAGTTGGTTGTGTGATATATGGCATCTGTAGGGTGATATTTCTCTGTAAGGGARAGGGGTATTTCTCCAAATGTTGTATTTGTATAGTAAGGAAAAATAATGTGGATTTTCTTCCATTCTTAGAAACCAGTTTTGTGTTGTGGAGGTAGCATGAGTGGTCTCATCTGTCTCTCTCTGTTTGCAGCATTTATTTATCACRTTGATAAAAGATAGGCTTGGCAAATCCCTGTGAAAGAGTGACTATGGTCTGCTAGTCTTTCATTCATCCTCAGAACGTAGCTAGCTTTCCACAGATATTTAAAACAACGACATTTAATCTCTAGCACAGTTAAAAGGCTTATGTGTTCCTTGTTCAGAAGTGAGACACATTGGCAACGGTTCTTATTTATTTTATTTGTTTGCCCCAGCTTGAAAACTGTGTAGTCAAAAGAAGAGTTCTCATTTTAATGTGCTGCAGGACTGAGTTGCCTCAGTGAAAGCAGAGGCTGTCGTGAAGTTACTGGTGCATAACCCCACTTTTCCACATTAGTCTGGTCTTTGGTTACAGGGATTTCATCAGCATATTTTTTTCTAAATATTAGCAAGGGATGTGAGTCCTTGAGCATTGATTGGTGGATTAATCAAAGTCCTTAACCAATCAATAGGTAGAGGTTTGCATAATAATGGAATTATTTCTGAAGAGCTGTGCCAATTGGAATTGCAAACCTTTCTGCTTCGATTCGCTTTTTGAATGCCTCCGCTTTACCTGCCTCTATTGCTCAAACTTTCAAAGTACTTAATAACAATGAAGATGCTTCCAAACTCCTCCTCTTTCATTTTTTTCATTTTCTTGTCTGGCTTCGGGGTGTGGAGGGTGGATGTGGGGGGAAGTAGCAATCAATAAAACTTAAATAGTTTGCACACGGAAAAGGTGAAAAACATTTTAAAGAAAAAAAAAAAGAGAGAGAGAGAAAGAAAATGGTTTGCATTCTTTTCTTTCCCAAAGCTAAAAGTGTGATCTGAAGCTCATATGCCTTTTCTTGCCTACCTCCCCTCCAGGACTGCTTGCATTGATTTCTTTCAATTGTCAGTACTGTACCAGTTCTGACCCCTCACTAATATCTTTTGGTTACTGGAGAGGAACTAGCTTTTGGATCTGTATAAATGTAAATTGATGTGGGAGGAAGGAGGATGACTGCAGGGAAAGATAACTGGAAAGGTTTTGCTAGATTTGAGGTTTGTAGCTTCAGTTGAATTTGCAGTAAGCTCAGCATTCATGTGTGTGGTCCTCTCCTCTTCCCCTTACAATAACATGTGGTAATAACTGGGTATATTTTTATGGGCAGCATCTTGAAAACATGCCTACTTTGTTCCTTTATTTATGTTTTGTAAAATAGTGGAGAATTCCTCATGCATGGTAACGTGCTTTTCGTGGGGTAATGAGTCTGGGGATGCAAAGTTAGAATGCAAAGGTCATTAGACAGAATGTCCAAAGCCAAGCATCCACAGATGCTTAGATCAGAACSCACATTAGTCAGTATAGCACTATTACAAGCCTCCTGATTCTGGACCTTTTGAGGTATCCATCTGCAGATTTTTGTCTTTCATCCAAAAGGGCTAAAATTTCCTTTGAGCCTGAGTAAGAGAAGCTAAAAACTTTCTTCGACTTCTAATTCCAATATTTAGCTACCTTAGATTTAGCTTAGTCATTCTTGTCCCTGCAGAGGCAGCGTAAATCACAGCTTGAAACAATTTCTCTTTCCAATATTGAGGCCTTGAATGTACAAGGCAGTGGTGGAGCAGACATCTTAGTTCAGTCCTGTCTTCATAAATCTTCCAGAAAAAGAATGTGTGATTGTGTTTGACAAGGCACATCCTCACTGATTTTAATGGAGTGTAATTTGAAACTAGTTTAGTTAAACCTCAAAGGGCAGATGGCTGCAGGACTGTGTGTAATTTCATAACAGTGCAAGGTTGTGGTGCTGCTACAAGATTATTAATCTGATTTTAGGACAACTCATAGAAAAAAAAAAGGGTATTACTGTTGTCAACTTAATGTTGAACAAGTACAAATAAATTCTGCCCATTAAAATGTGTAATAATAAGAATTAAAAACTCTGTCTCAGAGAACTTTCTCAGATRTGATGTTGTCTGGATTACTGCACAGTATAATGATTGTATCTTATATTTTTGGTTATTTAACATTAGCTGAAATTTTGTAGCAATGCCTGATCCCAATCAGGCTTGTACTGGCAGGTGATCAGATTTTATGTAAAGCTTATATCAATGAAAATGGACAGAGCCATTAAAATTTGCAAGGGCATAAGTAAATTGATTTAATGCAATCAAGACCCAGTTGTCTATAGACAAGRGGGCTTTTACTGTTTTAATACACTTACTTTACATATGGTATCTATGTTTCATGTTTCTTTGCAGTAGCTCAGCAAGCAAGAATTGGAATGATTACCAAAATGGCAAGTTTAGCCTAAAGATTGAAATAGAATGAGAAAGCTGCTTTTAAATTTATTTTCTCAATTATTCATGCTACAGGCTTTGTTTTATAAGGTGTTTTAATTCAGTCTAGAATAAACATGTGACCTGTCTTACCATAGGCTGGACCTCAGAACTCACYCTCSTGTCCCCAGCCCARTTAGATCTTGYTRYTTATTATTAAGAAAAASTTTTGATGGAGAAAAAAAGGAAAARYATGCTATGAAAAGTGTTCTGTGTTTTCAGCCAATCGTGTTCATGATGAACAGTCTGAATGGGAAGTCTTCAGGCTGGAAAGAACATCTGCTTAAAATATGTGTTGAATTTTTTGTTCTGTATTTATGTTAACATTAGCACATTTGTGGAAATCACGTTTTCTTCACAATCTCTTTGCTAAATTAGGACACAAATCCAAGAACACTTGTGCATGAGAGTAATTTTCTCTAAATGAGTAGTGTCACTGAGTTCAATAAGAGCAATCACGCACAGAATTAAGCACATGCATGAGAGTTTGCAGAAATTTGGCAAATATGTTGCCGTCATGAAAAGATTACCCAGCTTTTCATCTAATGAAGSAATGAATTCTTGGCTTGGTCCTATTTTGAGTAGTCCTAATTGTATGAGCCACAAACTRTTCTACTCTGCTAAGTCTAACTGAGGATATTTCTCTTATTTCATCGTAGCAACAAGAGCAAGATCCCACAAATCTATACATCTCAAATTTACCTGTGTCCATGGATGAGCAGGAACTGGAGAATATGCTGAAACCCTTTGGACATGTCATTTCCACCAGAATATTAAGAGATGCTAATGGAGTCAGCAGAGGAGTCGGCTTTGCCAGGTGAAACCTTTGCTCTTGCTTTGATTCATGCACATTTTTTTGCCTTTGGTCCTTCACAAATGCTGTCTGTTCTGTAGCTCTGAAGTGTCACAGCTATGGAAGGTGCAGAGCGGCACTTTTATCAGATTTGTATGTCTGTTATTTCCACCAAAAAATGCCAGTGCAGAAGGATGTTCATTTCATTGTTCTAAAAACCAGTCCATTCTGTGTAGGAATATGTAAATAAAAATTGCTAGGAATAGTGAGTGACCCATGYAGGATCAAGCTCAGGTAATAAAAAATGTCCTACAGCAAAAAGCACACACTTGGAAAAGAAACCAAGGCTTGTGCTTAGGAGTCCTGGGGCRAACTTATGGCAGTCTTTTGGTACCTGAAGGTGTCCTGTAAGAAATCTAGAGGGAGACTGGATGGTCCTTAAGGTCCCTTTCAACCCAAACCATTCTGTGAAACTGTTCAAATATTTGGCAAAGATTTTGCAACAGGAGAAAGTAAACTCAGCAGCTGGAGGAGCAAAGGGTAGGAACTGTGACTGAAGAAATGTGTCTTACTTGAAAACTGCAGCTTCCTTGAACTGCAGCTATGAAAAGAGCTTAAGAAGAGATATTTGCATAGAACAAGCCCTGACAGAGTAGTCAGATATTTTAGACAGAATGGGCAACATATCATTACCATGTACTTCATTGTTAGTACAGATAGACAGGGTTCCATGTTTACTCTCAGGGAATATTTACATAGATTCTCTTCAGCTTGAAACATTCTCAAATCAAATAGTTTTCTTTTTGAAAAGCCAAGCAATAGAGTGTTATATATAGAAAGGTATTGAAAAAACAAATAAGAAATTTGCAATTCTGCTGTAAATCAGTCTTCTGCTTCAAAAGAAAAGGGRAAAAAATCCCAGATCATTGTTTCTACAGAATATTCATAACAYTGTGCTTTGTAGAGGAGGCAAAATGACTTTTTCATCTTGCAAATTTCTCTGAAATCCATCATATCTTGATATATCATGGCACTTCTGTTAGTGTCATGACACCACTGAGTGATATGAGGTACTGTATGATAAAAAGTTAGCTTTCAAGAAAAGTGACATCATAGWGTTATCTCTGCCCTTGATTTGAAAGATAATTTTGCACAAAAAAATGTTAATGAAATATTGTCTGAATTCAAATGGGAAAAGGCAACACCTTTATGCTGACACACTGTTCCTTATCCATTCTTGCAGATAGTAACATGAATTTTTCTAGCTTGCTAAAATTAGATTAGCCTAAGTCACGGACAGACTTTCATTTTTAAAAATTTACTTTGTGCAAATGTGTTTAGTTATGGAACATATTTCAGGAACTTTTTAATGGTCTAACTTGAAATTTTGCAATTCACCATGCAAGCGACAGTGGGGTAAAACGCTCCATCAATGATTACAGCAGATCTCCCACTGATTTGAGTCAGGTTAAAGTTTATCCAGAAACTTAGAACCATAGCTGAATACTGACTTTTGTCTTTTCAGAATTATCAATAYAATATTTAATTACATGACCAGCTGAATTTCTTTTTGTAATGAAGTGCTATTTGGTATCTTTTTTTCTGCATGTCAAACCAAATAGATGGTTGATTTGTTTAACTTTGGTTTAGTCATGAAGGTTTCATTCCAGTGTACCCACAGTGTGATCACAGGCTGAGTAGGTACCACTGAAATACAGATAGGGGATGGAAGCTGGATTTCCAGTCCAAGTAAGATTTTCAARAGTTCAAATCAGCACTGCAAGTGGGGATCCTGGCTATTCTGACCAAGGTCCAAGGACCTTTTATCACATTTTCAAAGTTATTAATTATGTTTTATGATTATTAAGAGTCACTTTTTGAGTCTGTCTGATTATGAAAGTAGTCAACTTCAAAATAAATATATCTGTTCAAAAAGCAATCAGAAGWCTGAAGGWAGGCAGCTATTGTCAGATTTTTCTTCCAAATGGGTATTATCAGCAGTGCTTCAGGTGGCTACTTAATCATTTATAATGTGGAGARCTGCAAATGTTCTTGGATCAAAATTATCTTAGTAATGTCTGGTGACATTGACATCCTCCCTTAAAGAATGTGCACAGAAAACTAGCACTGAGTGAAAATTAAACATGAAACTATTTCCTCTCTTTTGCATCCCTCAAAAGCAACTGAACAGATTTTCCTGAACKTTTCCAGAACATTTCACTGTGGCCTGAGCCAACCGTGCCTGGGTGCACCCCAGGGGAGATTTTGGGGAGGAGGCTTRTGAGCAAGGGGCCAGAGAAGGGAAACTTTAGACTTTGACTGTGGCTTCATAAAAGCCTGTCCATGCTATCACCTCTGCACATCTGCCTCTGCCTCRCCCCTGGCCCTTGCTTTGTACTTCAAGGCCATATTATCTGTCTTCAGGCTCTCTGTGGGAGCTGGCATTCCACAGGGCTCCTACTGCTGTGGTCTTTTGGCAGTGGTGTTTCTGTTGACACCAGCAAGCAGAARCTGAGACTAAACACAGCCTATCCTAGATCAGAGAGGGGAATGAGAAGAAATAGGAGGGGGAAGAAATACTTACTAGAAGTAGGATATTAGRAAAAAAATCACTTCCTCTGGACGTGAAGCTTTGAGTTTAGTCTCTTGTAAGATTGCCTGTAGAAAGAGGGAATGACACTCTGTTGCCCTTGCACAGAATTTCATCACAGCACTGAAATTTGTAGGTGTTTCTCTTAAATCCCTGCTTCTGGGATGCTTCTGATAACTTCAGCATCTGATCTTTCATTTTCAAAGTGTAAGTGTATTCTTTAGAGCTTAGAACAAAATCATAGTCCTTCACCCTGTAAAAAATAAATCAGCAAGATGAAACAAAATAAAACCCACCAAAAAAAAGAAAAAAAACCAAAAAAATAAAACAAAACAAACAAAAAAAACTAAACCAGAACAAAAAAACCAAATGGATAGAAAGCCACAGAAACTGGATTTGAAGACTTATTTCAAGATACAATTTTAAAGCTGGTATCTTGTGATTTTGGCAAACAGAACATTAGCAGTGTTGTTGATGGTATGAGTAAAAAGCAGATCAGAGATTGTAAGAAGGTTTTTGAGGGAGGCTACAGTTGCTGGATAGGGGGAGGTATTGACAGCATGGAGGGAAATATTCATCATCATCCTGATAAAGTGTTGCCACTTATAAACAGGTAACTGTATGTGCTGGAAGACCTGGGTTTCCACAGGTMCACAAAGGATGAGTTCCAGATGTTAAGGTGGAAGAAGATAAAAGAATAACAAAATCACAGTGCTGGCAAAGCAGAGGTGCTGTTTTGCTAAATGAAAGGAGGAATATTTATAGGGAGATTTCTGAGAACCAGTGATGTTGCYACTTTGGAGACAGAGAAGTGTCAGCAGCACCAGGGGATAAAGAACATCCAGAACATCCAGGCAATTTAGGGATGCATTTGTGAAGAGCAAAAGTGCTTTGTTCTTTCTTATTCAAGGGTTTAATTGGAGGTGATTGAAAAGGTGCTATAAATTTAGCTTGAATAAATCCATCATCTGGGATGATGGTAGTACAGGCTTAGATATTATGAGGATCATTCCTACTTTCAGTCAGAAGAATGACCTGTCACATTCTATATCTCACCCAGGAAACTGCTTTATAATTGRATATCTCAAGTGAAACTGGAAATCYCAAAACTGCCCCAAAGACKTTGTGTGATATCTGCAAAATKTTCCAGTGCCTGTGRTGATASATTTCCTTTGAAAGAGCTCCCTGGAAAAGCCTTGGAGCAACACTGCAGGGTGGTGTGGAGGTCTGTGTGAGGCTGTATCTCTGAGTGTTCCATCAGTGTATCCATCTGGTGTTCCAACCTGGACAAATTATGGTAGACTTTGTACAACTCTAAGAAAATTGACAGGCAYGGAGCTGTACTATGAGGGAGAAGCAAACTCTAGAGAAGGACAGGTGGGTCAGGATCCCTARACAATCTTCAATGGGACTCCATAAAATGAAAATGAATATGAAGATCTGAAAGGTGATGAGGGAGGAAGAAGGAAAGTTGGGAGCTATCAGATAATTTGGCTGAGCAATTTGCATAATCCAAGCCTGAGGTGCCACAAATTTAATTGAAGAACTCCTTGGGCCTCAGAAAAGGGAGCACAGAGACATTGGTATATACCTTGGGGAAAGACTTAACTGGTACCACTGAATTGGTGAAATAAAAATTGCTTTTTATAACCCCACAATAAAATAGCATTCAAGTATTATTTAAGTATCTTCCCTAAAGAGATAGTTGTATTAATAATACCATACACAGGTTTGTCACACTCAGCTGAACAGCAGAACAAGCGTTTTATAGGTCCTTTTAAATGATAAAGTGCAAAGGAAGAGTTAGGAACCACTAACTTTTTTATTTTGTTTGCTGTCTTGTAACTTAAAACGACCTTGCAAGATTCCTCCCCCAAGCGACATTTTACAACGAAGTCATAAGCTTCTGAAAACAGAAATTTATGATGGAAATGCTGACAGTCAGACAGTCAAGTATTGCACTGCTGGCGGGCACCAGTATAATACTTAACCTGGGACTGTGCAGACAGTGGCATAAATCAGCCTAGGTCTAGGTGGAAATGACTCTGTGTGCTCATACTGTTCTTTTCCAGTAACACGAGAAAACTTGTCCAACACAAACTGTCATAAAAGAATGTCACGATGCTGTTCCCAGCAAATGACCAAGGTCAAGGGATTCTCAATTTGCTGTCACCTCAGAGCAAAGGTACACATCAGGGAGATGCTTCTGTCCCTTTGTGACCTAACTGGGGGGTCTGGAGTGAGGCATTTAAACACTCTGCTGTTGGGAGTCTGGACTTCATCCTCATCTTTTCCCTGCCTTCTTCTTCTGGAAAAGCTTCCTATTTTTTTGGGATGCTTTTCTTTGCCTGCCCATCTTTTTTTGCTAAACTTATCTCCTGCTTGTCCGCATTTTACATGTCTTAAATTGAGTCTTTGGAAACAATGTTCAACTGAGCAACTGAAAAGCAGCAACAAAAAATAGAAAATGAGATTTTTGAGCCATCACAGGATCATTATKCTATTTATGGAAGTTTTGCATGGATTTTCGTAGAAATTCCACTGAAGTAAAACCAGAGAGATGAGCCTTTAATTCCTATGTTTTTTTCCTTAAAGGAAGCTGTGCATCTTTCGAGGTTTTTCAGAATAATGTAGGTGTAATGTAGTTACATTTCTCCTGACCCAAAGAGGTTTCTCTATGGAAAACACTGTAAATGCAGATAGTGTAGTGCAGAATACTCAGGCAGCTCAAAATGGTCACCTTGGCATAATGGGTGATGCTGCAAGATGTAGAAAAGACCATATCTCGAGAGAAGAAGAGTGGTTTCTGTAGATTTTGTGTATTTATCTGAGAAAGTAAACAACCTCCTGTTGTTCGGGCAGACAGCTGAAGAATATACAGTCAAGACATGTTGGGAAAAGATATAATTTGTGAGCTATGAGCAGAACTTGTCAAAATAAATCTCTTCTTAGGCTGTGAGTGGCAAAGGGAATAGCTTTTTTCCAACATAAAATGGATTCAAACCAAAAGGCACAAATGTCTTGAAGCAATCTCTTACCAGCTGAAAAGTTGGGGAGATAAGATACTTAAATCTGCTACGGGGTAGGAGGAAATTACAAGCTGAAGCCATGGCAGTGTCTTAGAATACCTGGAATTAAATTAGCAAAATAAATTAAAAAACTAGTGAATGGTTTAACTAAAATAAAACTTTCAGAAGTGATTTGTAGACATGAACCAGAAAAAAAAAAGAACTACATATTTTCTGTTTAATTGCCAGTGGATCATCTTCCTTGCAGTTAAATGTCTCTGCCTAATTTCGCTTTCAATATTATCTGGTTCTTGTCACAACTTTCTCAGGAAGATTGAAGAAGTACTTACTCCCTAGTTTATTCTCCACACAAAGGTACTTATGCAGTGCTATCAGACTGCCCCAGTCATCTTCTTGATGTGCTAAAGAAATTGAGTTCTCTGATGTTATTCTAACTATGGTCTGTGTTCTTTAGACCCCCTCACTGTATAATTCTGCTACTGCCTACCTCCTTCCATCTTTGCAAAATGCCTTAAACAGTAAGGAAACATTGTTCTCCAAGAATTACTATTCCTGCTCTTGTAAATGTAAATAACATTCATATGTAGATCATAAACTAAATGTGGTAGTAGAAATTTTATCTTTAAATATTTATTCTGAATATAAAAAAAAATGTAGTCTTGATTYTCATTTKCATTATTATTATTATTAAGCAAAGTGACTATAGGGTATRTGTAAACCAAACCCACACTTTTCCACTAACTGGTAATTACATGGTACTGAATATTTCTCAGGTAATAATTATGTAATCATCATGTTATTCCTTATATAAAAATTTTATTAAGTTGTTTCTTGACACTGCATCAATCTTTATAATAAGCACATATAAGAGCTTTACGGGGGGTTTAAAATAATTTCTCTTCTCTCTTCTCTTCTCTTCTCTTCTCTTCTCTTCTCTTCTCTTCTCTTCTCTTCTCTTCTCTTCTCTTCTCTTCTCTTCTCTTCTCTTCTCTTCTCT